TTTTAAAAGTGAATAGAAGTTTCTAAGGCTAAGAATGGAGATAGGAACGAAAAGAGAGAGAATACCATGTGACTATAGGCACAAATGCCAAAAAGGTAGGTATGCTCAGAATAGTATGTTTGCAAAGCCTCTTATTTCAGTTTAGGGATCATGGGTGGAAGGCTGTTCAGTGGGGTTAAAGGGTGTGAGGATGAGTTGGAAATGTGAAGATGTAGGCAAAGCCAGAAGGCTTCGGAGAACACGGCATTAACCACCGGGACTCATGCTAGACACTAGTAGTCTTACTATGCGGGGGTTTTGGTGGTGATGTTGTCTGGTTGTTGTGGTTTTTACCAACACAGTGGTTTTTCTTTTCTCTTCTTAATTTGTGTTAGAATACTCACTTGGGAAGAGCATCAATTGAGGCCAAATATACAGTACACTAAATTCAAGACTGAGAAAAGTTGAGATTCAGATTAACAGGTTGATGAGGTGGTCCACAAGTAGTAGAAAACAATGGATGAATAGGAATAAGTAGGTAGACTGACCACTTCCTCCTATTTAAAGAAGCTTTCAATAAAATATATAAAGAAGTAAAATATATAAAGAAACTTTATATGTTCTAATACTCTGTTATTTGAGTAGTAATAAAAGGTAACCAGAGGATTTTAGGTGGGTTTAACAGGTTTGCATTATAGAATTCTTACTCTGGCATCAATGGCTATTACAACTGCAAAGGGGAGAGTTGGGTGGAAGGCAGATCAAGTTCATACTGGAGCAGTAATAGAGATGAGACATGGGCTAAAATGCTTGTTTAGGCAAAGCACAGTGGGCAGGGTTTGATCCCCGCCATGCTGTGCTGGCCCAGCCCCCGGGAAGCGCTGAGTCAGCAATTAAGATTGCGTGTGGTGGTGCACGCCTGTAATCCCAGCGTTTGGGAGGCTAAAAACAGGAGAATCACTACGATCTACGTAGTAAGACCCTGTACTAAACACATAAAAATTTTTTTTAAAAAAAGGATGAGACATGGAGAAGTTCTCAAGTAAAGATGCAGGAGACTGGCTGGAAGCTACACATTAAGGAAATCTTCAACAAATACCCAATAATGGCTTCCATGAGATGGTCTGCTGAGCACTAACAGTTTTGGAAATGAATGGCTTTGCACACTTGGGAAGAGGATCAATTGAGGCCAAATATACAGTACACTAAATTCAAGACTGAGAAAAGTTGAAATTCAGATTAGGTTGATGAGGTAGTCCACAAGTAGTAGAAAACAATGGATGGACAATTAACTAATCAGAATTGTGGAATATGGAGTTGTTTGAACACAGAGATGCTACTACCACAGATGTATACAGAAAGAAGAGGAAGTTAAAGGTAAGTAGAGGGAACTATGGGTAAAAAAAATGTTAGGAGACATGAACTTAGCATGATGAAAAGGACTGGAACACTGGACTGCAAAAAGCAGAGATCAAGTGTTAATGGCTTGCCTAATGCAGAAAGTAGCAGTAATTGTGCTTGCTTCATTTCTGACTCAGGTCTACTGGCTTTCTGTGCAGGGGACCTTTAATTTGGAGACTGTCATGTCCCTTGCTATATGTCTCCCAGGATAACACTATGTAAAGAGCACCAGAATTTACACCTATCTCTTGTTTTCCTCAAACAGCCATTTCCAGAGCAAACTACAACAGGAAATTTCCTCTTCAAAAGATCTTTTTGGCTAGTGGAGCTGACTTTGTATTAAGGGCACAAATACCGCAGTTGTAATGAATTCACGAGTGATACGAGGGACCCCCACCATGTACTTCTTGTTGGAAAGATTATCAGGACTATATTTATTAGCATAACACTAAGAAAAGTGAGATAGTAGATTTGATTATGAAGGTAAAAGTGTTTGTAAGGGCAGAGAATTGTAAGCCCATTAAACTCCAAAGTATACCCACTTGTCTGACGATCTACAGATTTTAGCAAGTCCACATTCAGGACTTAGATAAGAACCCATGAGTATGTTTTTGGATTGTGAGGAATAGAAGTTTTCTACATTGTTCCTAACTACATTTAGAAAGCAAGAGCAAATGACCCTAAAAGCACTATGACTTAAAGAAGCACTTTAAGGCCTGGGGTGTGGCTTAGTGGTAGGGCTAGAATGTACAAGTTCCTGGGTTCAGTTCAGGATAATGGAGAGAAAAAAAAAATAATAAAGCACTTGATATGAAGTGGAATGGGAGATGTTATCAGAGCAGATGGAAAATGTAAAGGCAAAAATGATGCCTTTAGGAATAGGAAAGCGATTCAGAAAAAGGGACAGAAAAGCCTTAGCTGGAAACCTATAGTTCATTGATTAGTGTGTGGACAGTGTCCATCTTTCATCATCTGATGACTGTTTATTTATATTTAAACATAGCTTTTTAAGTGCCTTTGAATGGATACTGTTACTCCCAAAGAATGCTAGCTGAAGGGCGAATCAGTTCAGAACTTGAGAAAGTGGTTGAAGTTAGCACTAGAATTTTGTATTTATAAAGTTATGAAGGGGAAAGACATGTTCTTATTCCGAGATTCATCTACACACCTCTACATACTCAAAAGTACAGTTGAGAATATACAACAAAAACAAGACCACTCATAAGACCAGGCTAGGGGAAAATTGTAGGTAGAACACAGTATAATATACAGCAAGCCTCACTGGTCCACCCCCTGGTGGATCCCTGTTGTGCTAAATTTTTAGAAGAACTTCAGTTTGCTTATGGAAAGAGCTCCCACAATGGCCACCAGAGGCAACCTTTCAGCCTAAAGAGAAATAACAATTTTTTAATTATAAGAAATACATCCCATTGCTATCCTTGATATGCTGTGTCCACTAGGTAAGGGAAAACATAATCACAAACAATGCACCCATACTGCCGCTAGACTCTATGGTACTGCTCACTTACCTTTCCAAAAATACAGAGATGAGATGGCTGTAAAATGTTAGGTCATCACCTTTACCACACTTAATATCAGAAATGAATCAGCAAAAATAAGCAAAACAGCTGAACAAAGAGGCACATACCTGTACTCCCTGCACTCTGGAAGGCTGAGCCAGGAAGATCACAAGTTTAAACCCAGCCTGAGAAACTCAGCATGATTCAGCTTTAAAAAATGGGAAGGGGATGTAGCTTCATGGAAAAGTCCTGCATGCCCACTAATACACACACACACAGAGAACAGTTCAAAAGTACTGTGTACATTGTCTAACTTTAGTACACAAGCCAATGACTTCTGTAAACAGCGCAAGAGAAAATAAAACTTATTGTGGTCATTCTATCAATAATAATAAAAGATCATTTAGAACGTTTTAAGAATTATGTCCTGACTATAAAAGTGTATATTTTGGTTATTAGAAAGTTTTTTTTATATTTACTTATAGCCATATATAAGAGGGCATGAAAACTGAGGAAATTTATAAAATTTTTTATTTCAAATTATCTTGCTAAAAACTCAAGAGGCCATATGACTTTAGGTTTCAGAGCAGAGGTCTTAAACTTACCTGTGAGGATGACATCTTCAAGTATTTTGTGGTGACTGTGCCCCCAGTTAAGAGAACTTGGGAGTATCAAGACTAAGTGATGCAGATTTCTGTACCAGTCCTTAAGTGGTGAAGTAATGTTTCTCTCTTTAAACTTTGAGATAAACAAAAAAAAATATTGTGGGCTTAATGATGAAAATTTAAGAGCTATTTTCTGTAGCCAAGTAAATTAGTGTAGTGTTCCCAGTAGTAGGCAATTTCAGAATTATTTTTGTTGATGAAATTCTATTAGCAAGACTAAAACAGAACCTTGTGTAGCACAAGTAATTTTAGTTGCCCTGATACTCAAAGATTAAAGTCACTACTTCCTAATCAACAATTGTTAGCTGGGGCCACTCTCAAAAAAATCGTTCTCATGCAATTTGATACTTGACAGCATTGCTATGCTTTTTCACCATAAAAATACATAAGTCATTTAAATCTCATTCTGCTGGCAGCATTTCTGCATACTGTAAGGGGTAATTACTCAACAATGTAGAATGGAGGGGTATATTTCTAAATATTGACTGACTGTCCTAGGGATGGAACCCATGGCCTTGCACGTGGTAGGCAAGCCCTCTATAACTCAGCTATCTTGCCAGTCTACTTGGATGCTTTTATTTTTTTTTTTTTCATAATTTTATTGATACTTGGATGCTTTTAGACATGACCTTGTTAGGTGCATAGATTACAGTAGGTCTACTTCAGAAACATTCTTCCTAAATTATTAGTATGTCTATAAAAAAAATAAAACTCCTAGGTAATCACATTAGAAGTACCCAGGCTTTTGATTACCTAGACTCTTTTATATATGTACATACTATTGATTTTTTACTCATAACCTGCATATAATGTAGTACATATATCCACATATGTATGTGTGTTCAGGCACATGTAGATTCACTTTTAGAAAATTACAGAATTTGTGTTTAAACATGCATAAACATTGGATAGGCCAGCAAGACAGCTAAGTGGACTAAGCACCTGCTTAGGCAAGTGTAGGGACCAGGGTTCCATCCCTGGTACTGAATGCTGTGCAAGGCCTGCCCTTGGACTATGGCCATGGTGGCACATGCCTGTAACCCCAGCTCTGGGGAGAATGAAAATAGTAGGATCACTACAAATCTGAGCTGCACAGTGAGACCCTGTACCAAATACATAAAAAAAAAACAAAAACAGTGATCACTTATCTAATAAAATCATTTGTGTATATTATATGTGTGTGTTCTATTTTTAAACTGTATATTGCAGTTAAAATCCAGTTATAATATCAGGAGTGATTATTCAGTTGCACTGTTGGGGCTAAGCTTTTAATTGCCCTGTTTATAAATGCACCAACATACTAGTCACTTTTTTCTTTTATTTTTTGAAAAGGACAAAAACATCTTTGAAATCCTACTGTCAATTTCATCTAGGACTTTTACGCTTATGGAAAACCAAAAATCAAGCCCAAAAATAACACTCATTTCAAATCAGAGACAATGCATTTCTTCTCATTTATTCAAATTCACTGCAGGAAGTAAACACTAAAAGATTAAAAAACAAAACAAAAAATTCACACTGCAGTATGTACAGTTTGACATCACATGAAGAAATTAAACTTCCAACAAAAATGACAAATTATATTACTGAGCAGATTGCATCAAAACTGGTTGTGTAAACCTCAGAATTCTTACCATAAATGGTAATGAGTCTGTATTCCAGTATTTGTTAATACAGGAATACTCCTGGTATATTATGTTTGTTGCCAGTGGGATTTAAAAATTCATGAAAGTACTTGTGTGAACTCTTTATGTTGAAAAGTAGTTGATTAGATTAAAAAAATTAAGACCCTTGGATTCAAAGCACATTCTTTCACAGAGCTTAAGCCACGAAGTCATGTCCAGAAATGGAATACTGCCGTGTTGGGATGAACATCAGATCTGACTTGTGAAGACATTTTGCCAAATGCACAGATGCACAGGGTCCCCCATGCGCTTTTCATGCAGCAAGTAATCGCAACTTAAATAAAAAGTATATTCTATACATTTGTCCAGACTTGCAACTGTATACATACATGCACAATTTTTAAACCTGTCTGATTATATTTACACTTATACATGGAATATACAGGAACCAAAGAGATTAAAAGGCTTTTTTTCTGTTGCTTTAGAACAATACAAAATATGTATTTCTCATTAAGGAAATCACTATTTACATCACCTTTAAAAACCAATTTAAACATCTTCATGTAACAAGTCTATATATATATACATATCATATATATATATATATATAAAATATATATACTCTCGCCAGTTTACTCTCCTATAAGATGCAGCAGAGAATAAACAGGCAGTATTACTTTACTGATGTCAATGAGAGCTGCAGTACCCTTTCACAAATGACTTATTAGGGAGAAACCGTCTAGATACCTAAAATAGTCCTTGAGAATGCGTGTATGTGTACCCTTGTACCTACAGATGCATAAAGAGAGTGAATTTGTGGATGTATGCCCTTTCTCACTGCCCTTCTTTAGAATCAGTCTGAACTCAAATTGGGGACATCCTCTAGTAAGAACAGTATTCTTTGTGGTCAAATTCATTTATCCATCACTTATTTGCATTCCTTTGTTAACAAAAAAACTAAACAAACAAAAAACAAAGACAGACCCCCACCCCCACCCCAGTGCTGGCTCTGGATGTTCTTTTCCCTAACCAAAAGGTCACTCCCTGGTAAAACATCCGCCTGCTCTCGAACAAGGGTGAGTACCAGTATTTCTTTCTGACATAGCTCTAAGGCTCTAGGTCTTTCACAATGACCAAGAAAAAAGAGCTGTAAAAGCTTATTTATATAATGTAGACAAGACTGTCACAATATGGACACAGAGTACAGTATATTCACTGGCCAGTGGAATTTTAATGTCAGAATAAGCATGAGCCTTCACTTCCCTGTGATGGAGCGTAAGATTTGCTCTTATAATTGTATTATATATCCAGTAACTATTTACAAATCATTTTGACAAAAAAAAATAATCATTTAGGGTTTTAGATTATATTAGGAAATAATGTCCATTTTTAATATAAAAACCTTAGAAACAACTTCAAGTAGCGCATTTCAAATTATTTCCTTCTAATTAATAGTTCATTATACAATAATTTTTGATAGATCAGTTGATAACCTGGCTCACAATAGAAAACAAAAATATCTGGTGAATGAATTGTGAATTGTAAAATCTGAACTTTAAATAGACTTGTTTCAAGTTTCAAATGCCATCTGGCTTTAACATAGAAAGTTTTTCCAAAACTGTTTGGATGTTTACTTTTAAGTACTATTTGAAAAGAATTAGTCTAATGGAGCAGAGTACACCGTCATGGATATGTGCCCTTTATAGAATTTTCTTTAGTCAGTCTGAGTTCAGTACCTTTCTTCAGTTTGAACTAAACGTTTTAATCTTTGTTGGCATTGTTCTTAGGACAATGGTTTCAATAGAAGATAAGGATGTATTCAGAAGTTTCCAAACCACCCTGGAATCACCTGAGTTTGGTAAGTGGCCCTGTCATTCCAGCTCTAAGGCTAATTAAGTAGATGTTACTTATTAGAACAAATAAATAATCAGATTTTCCTGAGATGTTGAGCCAGATATGAAAGTTGTCCCCTCCACCCAATTTTTTAGTCATAAAAAGTATTCTGAACCTGATTTCCAAAGACATAACGGCAATATAGAACTACAATATTGCAAATTTTAGTTAATGTGTGACTGTACTGGGGAAAATAGACATCAAACATCCTCTTTAGAGTCCATGATCTGAGAAAGTCACCAGCAATGGTTCTCAAACATCAGCGTGCAGAAGAAACACCTAGGAAACTTGTTAAGGTGCAGAAGCAAGATTCCCAGGTCCACTCTGCAGCAGTCCTTGTTCTGCAGGTCTGAGATGCTGCCTATAAATCTGCACTTTAAAACAAGTGTTCCTGATGATTCTAATGTCGGTGGTCTGAGTACAGCTTCAGGAAATTCTAGTTATAAGACTCACAGGTACCACAGGAATGGTGAGAATTAATTTTACAAAGAGATGGTGAAAAACTGTCCAAAGAAAACCATTTTGTTTCTGTTAAAAACAATTTCTTAAATAGTCAACTATTCAGAAAACCACCTGAAGATGTGTTAACTTTCCTAATTCTGTAAAAGGAGGGGTATTTAGTAAAGTAGTTAAAATACAAAAATTGAAATCTGCCCTTTTTTTTTTTAAAGATCTATCAAACTTTCATTGATTGTAATCAAGTTTACTAAAAAGTACAACATTTAAAGAAATACATATTGAAAAGGCCTGGGGTGGGGCAGACACATAGGGAACCAGAAAACCCCTTCCAAGAGTTAAAAATAAACATTCATTTTTAGCAAAAGTGAAAAATGTGAGCTTTTTTTCCAAGTTATATTTAATTGGATAATGAGATGTTTTTAATTTGATAATTATTCTTTATGGAGTTAACAGTTTGAACTTTAAAAACATGGGTTAATGTAGGCTGACATCTGAAGTGCAAAAGAAAGTACCCTAAAAAAGGCAGCAAAATGCATTAATCCACTGTGGATGGAATTGTACATTTTAATGTATGCCTCTTATGTATGACCATAAAAGAACTTCATTTGTAGGCTACTCACAGTTGTTATATGATGCATACAACAATGTTAAAACAACCAATTGCTATTTCAAGAGAGTTTTCTCATGATATCTAATGTTAAGCAAAAATTAGTATGCATATTTAAACATCACCAGTAACCAATACTTTTCAAAATGAAAAAAGTTTCAATTATATCATGCTTTTCTCAAATCATGCTCTTATTTATACAGATCTCAAGTTCATACTAATTGGTTTTAAAAAGAGCCAAAGCTGGATGGCAGGTATATTTTATTCTGATTCTTTTTTAATTGTCAGCACGTTTCCCATAAGTCCATAAGCTTCTCCATTTGCATTGTGTGGGCAAGATGTATTATTTCCCATATGGCTATTGTAAGGGCTTCTTAAATTAAAGAAAGAAGCTTTAGTTTCTGCAGCAGGAAGTAACTCTTCTTTGATTGCTATCTGTGAGACACTTTCAGCAGGTGAAGACTCCCTCCAAATGTCCTTGTCCTGTGATTCTCGACTGGTTACAGAGTTGCCTCCTTTCTGGAGCATGTAATACAGTATTGGGTTAGTTTTGGTCAGTCTTGGGGAGTCTTTCTCATATTCATTCTTACCCACATCTGTGATAACCCACTTGATGGGTCCCTGCTCACTGGGCACGGAACAGCCATTCAAAAGCCCAGGTTCTGGTCTAGAACAGCCCAAGTGCTCAGGGAAAGGAGGGCTTACAGGAGTTTTCACCACTCCTGGATACGAAAATGTCCTAGTATCCACAGAACTGTTTGGCTGAGTGGAACCATACATCAGTCCATTTAATGAAGACATGGTGAAGTCAATCTTACTGTTAGTCACATTATGTTTGTGTCCTTTCTTTTTATTTTCAACAACAGAATTATTCCTGTGTGGGGACAAATCTCGAACACAATTTTCTGAAAGCAGTAACTGTTTTAGAACATTGAAGCTTTTGCTCTCTCTGGCCCAACCTCTCTGTTCACTTTCATTAGCTGAACCATGACCAGCAGGATACTTAAACTCAAGATCATTTCTGCTAAATTTCAGCTCTTCCTGGTTAAGCAAGGACCCATACAGTACTTCTGGAGTACTGTGATTACTTGCAGCTTCAACAAAATTGTTTTTCATCTTTTTAAATGAATTTTCTAATGGTTCAGTATAAAGTTTCCTTTTCTTGGGGACCATGCAAAGACTCTTTGATTCTAGAGGTGTCAGTTCACTATTTCTGTGATTTTTATCTGGATCATCTGTCAGGTAACTCTCTTGATTCTGTCTCAGCAATCTACTTAACAGACCATTCTTGGAGAAAGAAAAATCTTGAGGTGAAATGGGCTCTGATTTAAAGTCCTCGGGCGCGGGTAAGGCAGGCGTGCTTCTCTGCAGTGGGGGAGCCGTCCCCAAGGATGGGGTGCTCGGGGCATCGTGGCTCAGACGCACATCTGTATTATGCATATGTAAGTCATCACAAGGCTCAGATTTTATTTTCACCATCAGTATCTGTTCATTTAAAGGTCTCTCTGTATGTTCCTGAGCACTTTCATCCCTTATTTTTTCTCTCTTTTCACTCTTACCTTTGTTGGGATTTCCCAGAAGCAACTGAAGGACAGTGCGTCTTTCTAGCAGATTTTCTATTTCAGAACCAGAAAATCCTGCTTCAGGACCAGCTGGTTGACCACTGAATGCTTTATTTTCTTCACCTGCAATTGTTTTATTTGAGAGCAGAGGGCTATTTAATCTATCGATCATACCTATATGTTTATCTGTGTTTATACTTAACAACTGTTTGCTGGGTCTCGGCTCTTCCACTGACATTGAAGACTGCATCCCACATTGTGCCAAATTTTGTAACAGTTTACTGGCACTAAAAGTTGCAGAATTTTGTACAACTTCATTTTGGGTTGTTTTCTCTCCTTGCAATTCTTTGTGTTTTGTAAGGTCCATCAAGTGGTTAGACGCAGTGTTTGTTTGCTTTTCAGCCTGAGCACTACAGGCATACGGTGGGGAATTCCATTTGATGACCATAGAATGTTGAGAAAGATTGATGGGAGACTCTGCTTTGGTCGATGTAAGTAATGGTGGAGTGTTGACTGGAGTAGTCCTATTTGTACTAGGGCTCTCTATTACAGAAGTCCTTGTGTAATTTTGTGTATTAAACTTTGTCATATCACTGTGTACTCCCTGAGGGCTGGTGCTTTTTTCTGCATTGTCTTCATTCTTATGGCCAAGTAATAATTGAAGAAGTGTAACTTTCTGATGTGAATTTAGCTTAGAATTTTTTGAGGTATCTTGCTCTTCTTTGATATCTACCTCTGGGACTTTTGGATCCCAAGTGTTTAGCAAGGACTGAGTTAAGTTATCAAGAGAAACAGGTTGGTCACATTCGGGTTTCTCAATCCGGTGCTTGCAAGACAAGTCGATGGGAACACAGTTGGAATAGGAACTTTCATCACCACTGCTGTCATCTGTGAAACTGGGATTGTTATCTGAGTATTCATCGATGGTCGTAGGTGTGCTACTATCCTCAAAAATACTTCCTCTCTCATTCTGATTGTGCCCATTCATTGGCTTAGGCATGGTCTGGCTTTTAAGAAGATGTAAAAGCAAACTATTACTAGTAGCTTGTTTTATATTGTGTCTTTCCAGCGAGTTCTTATAGCCTGAATTTTTGGGGGAAGAAGGAACGATGCCCACTGGGTTCTGAAATGCTGCAGCATTGTTTCTATTAGCCATTACTTTGCTTGATGATGTTCTGGCTTGACCATTGAGATGGCCTGACATTCCTTTTGAGAGCTGAAAACTGCCCATGTCTTTCTGGCCATTTTCTTGTAATCTGGCTATAGCAGCAAGTCTTTCACTTGCTGCTTGATTTGCATTTTGTGTCTTTAAAGCATGTTCCCGAGAATACTGTTGCAGATGGGCTTCACTAGAAAGGAGCAGTGCTAACTGGCTACAAGCAACACTAGGTTTAGGTGAGGTGGCAGGGCTAGCTCTTTTCTCCACCATGCTTGCAACAGCCTGTAATCTTGCAGCACATGACAAGGGTTCACTCACAGCCTTTGTTCCACTTTGTCCAGCACACTGGGGTGACTCTACAAACCTATCTCTGATGAGGTTTTTAGTTACCTCAGGAAGATTTGTATCAGGCTTTTGATCTTTAGCTTTATTTTTCTTCAACAAAGTTTTTAAGTGACTTGATGCAACACCATAGCACCTTAAGTCTTTCTCTACTTTTAAAGAATCGTGGCTGAGGGCGTATCCTTGCTCCTTGAGGCTCTGCCTAATTTGTTGTGACAGAGCAACAGTCTGAAGCCTAGAGCTGAATGACTGAAGCAAAGAGGCCAGTAATGTGCTATCCTGTTTGCCTTTGGGCACATTGTCAACCATGCCAGCCAGCAAAGCTTCTTTCTTTACATTTAGGTTCACGATGGAATCAGACAGCCTCTTCCGCTTTGCTGCATTCCAGTCCTCAGAAGACTGCAACAGCCTGGCTTTTTTGAGATGCAGCATGCCAGATCCCTGGTATGTATGTGTATTGAGAACTGGCCCATTACTTTGACAGGTGGGAAATGCACTGCCTGAAATTTTAAAGTTCTGATCCTCCTCATTGTGCCCAGCAGACTTTTTGTCAATGGCAGTACCTGATCCCCCTGCTGCCTGATGCATTAGTAATCCTTCTAAGTAAGTTAAAACAATAGAATCCTGCTGCACATCAGAGCCAAGCTCTTCTCCATGAGTCATGTTCAACAGAAGTGCTCACAAGGGCTTGGTTTCTGTTCACTTTGAAGAATGATTTTCTCTAGTTGAGTGGTATGTAACTTCAATAAGCGAGAGACAGTTTATCACCTTCCATAGCAGTGAGATAAAGAGGTCTTGTTACATTCTGACCAGGATTTCTTCTGCCAAACAAAAGATAAAAGGTATAAAACTCCAAAGCAGTCTGACCCGAGGGATGATCAACTTCTAAGTACTTGGTAGCAGAAATCTCCTTAATACATAGGTCTGGAGCAGCAAGTAGATACAATTCTTAGTGAATATGCTGCTTTTCTTTCTTCATCTTTTATTCTTCATTAAATGGAAGTAACAGTGTTCTAAAAAAATAAATAAAAACAGTTTAAGCAATATAATACTAGCTTCAGGCTATGACAACCAAAAGCAAAAGAACATATACATATATTCTATATAAATACAATATGCACATATATATGCATTATAGTCACATCTTTAGTAATTATTGCTATCTCTATTAAATTAGAAAGCCAATGATTAATCCATATGGTTAACATGATCCAATCATTTAGAGAAGAAAAAATATTTTAATGTTGTAATTCTCTTCCAAAATCTAGGATCTACAATTTTCATAAGCACCTTTCTGCAAATTAACATGAATGTACAGTCTATCGCTGTATAGCTCCATGTGAGGGACTCAGGCAGTCCTGAATACATCAGGAGAAACAAAATAAATTGCTTTGCAAAAGGAAATCAGAAGTGTATAAAGTCAACTTATTTGCTATGTCTGCTGTAGAGTTGAGATCAACAGAAATATTCACTTCTGACCTCACCTGACAGCACATACTCAATTAAGTAATTTTTAGAATTTCTATTTTCAAAGAAATGAAAGCCCCAATGACTTCCAGACTGTTCATGAGCCTGTGGGGAGTGCCAGTCTGAGGAATATTAACAAATAATAAGCAGCTTAATCTTCTTTCTCCTACTTTCCTCTACCAAGAAAATTCTGACTTGTTTTCAGGTAATGGGGAGGTATCACAAAAATGCACATTTTTTCCCCATTTGTACACATCTTTAAATTAATGACATGTTGCAGAAAAGATATTTTTCTTTCTTAGTGGTACAAAAACAAGGCTGCATTTTATAACTCATAATATATTAGAGAAAACTGGGAGCTACAGGTGTGCAGGCTGAGACTGTGGCCCCGCGACCAAGCATCCGAGGTGGTGAATATCTCAAGTTTGAAGTAAAAAAAAATGGCCTCCAATAAAACAACACTGTAAAAAATGGGAAAGAAACAAAATGGAAAAAGTAAAAAAAGTTGAGGAAGCAGAACCTGAAGAGTTTGTGGTAGAAAAAGTACTGGACTGACATGTAGTGAATGAGAAGGTGGAGTGTTTTCTGAAGAGGAAGGGATTTACAGATGCTGACAATACATGGGAACCTGAAGAAAATTTAGATTGTCAGAGTTAATTGAAGCATTTCTTAATTCGCAAAAAGCTGGTAAAGAAAAAGATGGTACAAAAAGAAAATCGTTATCTGACAATGAATCTGACAACAGCCAAGTCAAAGAAAAAGAGATGCTGCTGACAAATCTAGAGGTTTTGCTACAGATCTTGATCCTGAGCACATAATTGGCGCCACAGATGGTAGTGGAGAGTTGTTTTTCATGAAATGGAAAGATTCAGATGAGGATTATTTGGTGCTGGCGAAAATACGAAATGTCCTCAAATCGTAACTGCTTTTTATGAAGAGAGACTAACTTGGCATTCTTGTCCAGAAGATGAAGCTCAAGAACTTATATCATTTATACATATATGTGTGGGGAAAAATATTCTAATGAAAATCCAGCTTAATATGTCAGTTTGTTAGGTTTTGTTTGTTTTGCATCTATAGTACTGATTACTTTGAGCAAATAAATAAAGCTTTGGTAGTTGCTTCCTTTATCAGAAAAGAGCATTTGGCAGCCTGATATACTTCTGCTTCTCTAAATGTTGGGTGGAACTGTCCACAGTCCACATCAGAACTCATGTTTAGCTCATAGGCTTAAGGACCATCCTGAGGTTTTTGATTGTGTGTGTATAAAGAAAATTCTTATGCAAGTGTTTTTTGTTTTGTTTTTAAACGTTTACCAAAATACAAACTATGGGTGATAACCTCATGTTTGAGAAGTCATCGTTCTAAGAAATCACTTACAGTTAAACAGAAAGTTTTCCTGAAGCCATAACCTTTTAAGTTGAATAGATGTTTTTGTGGTTAATCAGACAGTTTAAAGTAGATATTTTCAGAGCAGCCATATAAAAATCTGTATCTATCTTTAGTCACAAAAATACAATTTACTTCCAACCCCCCCCCCAATAAAAGTCTTATCTAGCTGGACACTGGTGGCACACACCTAAAATCCCAGCACTTGGGAGGCTGAGGCAGGAGGATCTTGGGAGTTCAAGACCAGTCTGGGCTACAAAGTGAGGGCAAGGCAAGCCTGAACTGCATAGCAAGACCGTCTCAAAAGAGAGAGAAGAAATTTCTTATCTCTACCAACAACTTCCCCACCCAAATGAGGTAGCAAGTCAAAACTTGGTTTGTTTTAATTTGCAAAGGAAGACTTAACAAGGGAACATTAAAAATTCCTCAAGACTCATTACTTCACAGCAAGTTGAAATATGCACTCAAAAGTCAGGATTCATGTATGTCTTAAGACTTGACTCATGGAAACCTACTGCATGGCTGGTGATGTTCACAAGTAGGACCTATAATAAAGGAGTGGACAAACTTTAAACTATTGACCTGCATGTTTTTTCTTGACACCAACTTGTTCCTTACATGTAGGCTCAATCTTTTCATTACTCGGGTTACTGTTTTCAGCAGAAGCCAGGAAAACAACTTTGTAGTAGTCAGAATGTTATCCTACTGTATACTGTTTACTTTACTGTAAATAATGGTGAACAAGTGGTCAATAGTTTTATACTCCTTTAAAAATATATTAGAGAAAACTTATAATGTCTTAAAAACTGTTAGTATATTCATCTAATTAAGGCATTTAAGAATCATTTACTAAGATATGAAAATAACTTTGTTTCCTTTCTATACCACTGCCAATCTTTTGGTTTTTGAGACTGAAATTAGTCATAAACATACTGGTAATTTGACATTTTATATATAAGTAGTCCTTAAATGCTTCACTGAAGCAGAAGAATGAAATATGGTTACTGGAGATCTTTGTGCTATTTCTACTCCCCTTTTACTACAGATATAAAGTATTCATTGTTTAAAAAAGAAAAAGAAAGTATCAGCACTGAGGAGACTGAGGCAGTAGGACTGTCAGAGTCTGAAGGCAGCCTGAGTGACACAGTAAGTTTAAGGTCAGCCTGAACTATGTAGGAAGACCCCATCTCAAACAAAACGGTGAACAAATAATCAAGCAACAAACACTGCATCCATAAGTTTCTGATTTCCAAAGCAGATCTTCCAGAAGTTGACTTTAAAAGGAATTACTGCAGTGTCTTTACAAAGAAAGGGGCTCCAATACTGTGCTTTAGCATTCATTCACCTATGCTTCCCATGTTAACAGAAAAACGCTACTACTACATTAAAATAATCATTTCTTAAATAGATCTTTTGCACATAGGAAGACTGTATCAAGAAATGGAATCAATATATGCTATGTACATAGAGCAATACTATTATGTAAATATACCAATTCCCCATGGTGAACACAATCACTACTGAAAATTGGTACTAAAAAATTAAAAATTAAAATTTTTAGCAATTTCAGGAATACAAAATAGCATATAAAGCAATTTCATTAAACTTCTGTGGTCTGAGGCCTACAGTAAGCATACTGATCTAGTAGAACACACTCATAGCTGAATGTTCTCATGTTAGGAAGGAACACATTTTTTATGTTCAAACACACATATGTGTGTGCAGACAAACACCCTCCCCCACCTGTATACACATGGATAAATATGAATCTAAAATAACTGTTGCATTGATTTAATAAATACAATTCAGTACAATTCAACACCAAGCTCTTACTGAACTCCCAATCTGCTTGGAGATGTTTGATTGGTAGGAATTATGTTCACTTGAAAGAGAGATGGGATCTGAATATGTAGAGGACTGCACAAGGTGAACCCGCAGTCCCAAGTTTTTAGATTATTCCAACATAGAGTCCTTTCCTCCTTACCAAAATTATTTTAAGTGACCTTGTTATATTACTGTGAAAAATTTAAGAAGTGCAACTTGAAAAATCTTTTACAACTGTTTTGAAATTTTACAACGAAAATAGTTTTAGTTTAGAAAACATGGCTACCATAATGTATATAACCTCAACTGTAGGTATACGAAGCTATGATATCATCTAGAAAAGCATGCGAGAAACCAACTTATAAGAGCCTTGAAGGAAAGGTGAATAACTGCTTCCAAAAAATTTAAATCAAGATGGTTATTTTTTTATGTACTTCACTGAAAAGTAATTCTATCAAAAGAAGTAAGCAGTGGAAGAAAATGAGCTTCTTGGGAAAATTCGTCTTTTAGTAAGATGAATCTGAAAATCAAAGGTTAGAGCCATCTGGAAAGGCTGCTTCGGGTGATAGTCACTGGCAAGAACACCTAGGTGCAGTCAGGACATGAAATGTCTAAGCAGGCAGGGATTCAGGGGCTCTGAAAAGCCTCAATTGTGTAGCCTCAATTTGTGCAATCTCTTTCGGGAATAATAAGCCAAATTTCTTCAGATAATTTTCTTTCTTACTACTTTCATAACTCCCATCCAAGTACTAACGAGGCCCAACCCTGCTTAGCTTCCGAGATCAGAGGAGATCGGGTGCATTCAGGGTAGTATGGCCGTCGACACCACTTTAATAACCTACATGGAAGAAACCAATAAAAATTCTAGCCACCTTCCCAATTATTGTCTTTTCACTTATATAATACAAAATTTAATAATGAAACTTAGGGGGAAAATAAAAAAGGGTGGAAAGATACCAGAATATAATGCAGTGTACCGAGACCTACAAATATTGCTGACTTGTAGAGATGTTTAAAGTTAAAAGTGTGATTTAGCATTTTTCATCATTAGTTGCACTCAATATATGTTAGCAAAAAGATAACATCATTTTTTGGGAGGGGAGAGGTCTCACTTTGTAGACCAGGCCAGATTCAGACTCATGGTGATCACCCACCTCGGCCTCCTGAGTGCAGGGAGTACAGGTGTGTGCCCCCACAACACCCTGCACAAAGATAACATTCTTAAAGCACCAGTATGTAGTTTTTGTGCCTGGAGCTACATGCATTTCACCTAAATGTCAATGCACACTTAAGAATTGGGTTTCTTTAGGAGATTTGGGAACAATGTATTTCA